AAGAGAGAGGATAACGGTTTGTAGTCATAGTTTTTTGGGCCTTTGTCTAATTTAATTAGCTATTGTTTGAAGAAATTTTTATTATGTTTTTGATTTTTTTTTTTTGCTTTTTTTAGAGAAAAAATAAAATAATTATGATTATTTATTGACTTATTTAGTTTATTTTAAATGAAATTTAATTGTCCAAATTGAATTTGTAACAAATAGCTAAAGCAGTATTTTCAAGCATTTTCGGTACACACACTTGTTCACATGTTCCTTAACTGATCATCATACACGAGTAGCAAAATTCCAACATGACATGCGCTACGACAGTCTTACGCATTTTTTTTCCAAGTAACTGACATGGCCTTCCAATTGTTGACGTTCCTACAATACACGGCAGTTAGCACTCAGTGTTAAAAAACATGGTCTTCCAATTGAGGCTGACATCGTCAACGCTGTAAGCACACATTGCGTTTCTGCAAATTGTGAGCGTTCGTTCTTGGTCTATGTTGTTGTAATGTTTTGCTTCCATAGCCGTAGTTGATTTGCTTCGGTTTTGTTAGGTTGTATGTAACACCCACCTACATATTTGTTTTTTGTCGATTTCACTACGAATGTATCCAATTCGTATTTCAAATGGTTAAAGCATATGCTATTTTATGTTTATTTGTTATATTCTTGTCCATTATGTTGCCATGTTATGAATGCCATATTTACGTTTGTCAAATACTTGCTTTTCTACGTATACCACAATTACTGTTGCACTTGTAGTAGTAAATGGAAGCGTCCAAACGCATTGACAAGCCTTCCAAACTTTGTGTAAGCGCGGTAGTAAACAGACACAGCAGGCAGTCCGCAAACGATGCATAAGTAGTTTGGGAACCTCGCACGTGCAGATTTTCTTTGCAAATTTTTATCAAATAATTGGACTCTGGTTTTCAAAGGGGAGCTTCCATATAATGACAATGCATGGATTATAGAGCCTTGTCTGCAAGGCCTTTCCAGAAGTGTAACAAAAAGTCCATGATGTCAAGCAACTGCAAAACAAGCACGAGTTTGCTAAAAAGAATTGGCAGTCCTGGTCACGACTGATGGACAATAGGCATGGGCCAACCATCATAAGTTACAATGAAGCGACGGGTTTGATACAAGCATTTGAAGACTGGTGGGCGCATTGTGAAAAGGTAACATTTCCAAATTGTTTTACTTACGTCCAACGTGACACTCATGTATATATTAGAAACATTATTTTATGTAATTATTGATTAATATTTTTATTTGAGCAAAAATGATAAAAGCCTTATCTGCCATTATATTCAATGAAACGCAGTGTCACTTGGTTGGACAGACAAATAAATGTAAGATAGATTGAAAATTTCAATTTTTTTGGGGAGAGCTTTATGAGTTTTAGTGGCCATGTACTACTGCTGTATGACTAATGTTAGACATCTATTTTTCACCCCCAAGTAGCTTTGTTATACTTGCCAACTTGGCTCTCCGTTTCTCTATTCCCCCCTTCAATGTCAGACTATTTTGTGAAATTTTTTAAAGTGTTTTGTGAGTTTGTATGGGCAAGTACTTCTGTTAGACTTCCATTTTGTACTGCAAATTGCATTGTTGTAGGTGTGGGCGTGCATGCACGTGTGTGGTTAAATTGGGACCTATTTTGGACTCCAAAAAGCTTTATTATATTATTGACGTTGGAAAGTTGCCAAGCTAGTTTCATTCAAAAAACTCTTTCTCTCTGGTACTTCTATCTGGGTGTTTTTGTGGTTGTGAATGTGAATATGAATGTGAATGTGAATCTGCATGTACTAGTAGTGTTTTCCATATATTGAAGACTTCGTGATCCAAAGCAACTCGGTGAAGCTTTTTTTTTTTTTGAAAAGTTCATAAATAAGAAAAATGTGAAGCATCTTTAACTTTTGTGATTTTTGAAAAATGTGCTACATCTTTAACTTTTTCAACATTTTAACCCCTTCATTCTGATTTATACATATCAAAATAGAAGTTCTCTAAATAAACCTCAGAGAGTTTATCCCTTTCTACTTTGGGTAGATAAATAAATTGAACTTCAAAGCCATATACATTTCAGTCCACATAGCAAAATTTAAATATAAATGAGTCATGCCTTATCACTTTGCTTCTATAAATTTCTTCTCTTTTTTGCCTTCCATGCTCAATTTTATGGCACGATTGAATAAGGAAACATAGTTATGATTGTATCTAACAAAATTTATTATTGACTTCATTGGTTTAATTTGACTAGAACATTGAAAATGAAATATCAGCTAGACATCAGACACAGGAACTTCAATTAAAACACCAATAGGAACACAGAACATGTGGCATACACACTTGTAGGTGTCACCCCATTCAACCTTAGGATTTTAAAATTTTCAACTTTTGAGTGATAGATGTTTCAAAAAGGAAACATTTCAGGATGTTCCAACCAAAATGTTTGCAATCTAAATTATGAAAGAAAGTTATTGTATTGTAATTGGGAAGAATGGAGCCTCATTTGTCTGCAAGTTCAGTAAAGTTTACTAACCAAAACATGCATCTCCCTAGTTACACTGTTGAACGTGAATTTAGAATGTAGTTATCTATGGTCTCAACTCTTAGCCTCAGATAATTAGTATAAGGAAGGAACCTTCCAATTGCAACACATAAAGATGTTGAAGATAATTTTACAATTAATTAAATGGTTCCCTTGTTCGTTGTCATTGATTATTTAATAACAAGCTTAGTTTTTTTTTTTTTGGTATGACTTAGCAGCAGGTTCATTCACACACCATGAAATACACATATTTATTTCAAATCCTATGTTATAGATTTTGCAACCATTGGCATCTAATCCTGTGCAATTTTTTGGGTTTTTCCCAGGTTGACAAGAATACAATAAAGTTCAAAACGAAACCGTTGGAGCACATGGACCTCATACAAAGGGTGTACGAAGGCACTACGGCAACCGAAAAATATGCATGGACACCAGGTGCAGCGTTCGAACATGTCGCAATCGATGACGGTACTTCGCCGATAGATGAAGAAGATTTTGAGGACAACAGCGGTTTGCCCCCTTTCCATTCTGTCGCGCTGCCTGAAGACACTGTCCACCACACTTCTGTGCCAGAGGATGACATGCTGGTGACCGTAAACATTGCGTCGTCGACAATTCATGCTGATAACACACCTACAAGTGGTGGGAGCAAACGCAAATTTAGTTGCACAACACACCCACAGCGAAAAAAAGAGCAGAGTGAGGGAGCTTTGCTGTTGGCGAGTTGCATAGAAAACCTTGCATTTTCAGTTAAATTACAACAATGAGAAGTCCGCGTGCATCATGATTATGGAGATTCGACATAGGAGCTCATTGACAAGTGTATGACAAGGTTGTACTCGCTGGAAGGGCTGGATCCACAAGACCCACTAATTGTTTTTGGTTTGATGGTACTGGACAACCCGGCAAATCAAGCCATAATGGTGCGGATTCTGACAGACGCGACTGTTATTAGCTGGTTGAGCCCAATATCGAACGGAACGGGGACTCGTTCCTCCTCGGGGCATTCGGGGACGTCTACAGAGAAGTCCGCGTGCATCATGATTATGGAGATTCGACATAGGAGCTCATTGACAAGTGTATGACAAGGTTGTACTCGCTGAAAGGGCTGGATCCACAAGACCCACTAATTGTTTTTGGTTTGATGGTACTGGACAACCCGGCAAATCAAGCCATAATGGTGCGGATTTTGACAGACGCGACTGTTATTAGCTGGTTGCGAATGAAGAAGTCCCAAAGTATGGGTGGCCCATCAGCGGCAAACTTTGGAATGGGTGGTTGGTTCTGACGATTGTCCAGCATTTGTATCACGTTGCAACCTCCTTTGTTTGTTGTTATTTTTTTTTTCCCTTTTGAACAAACTAAGATAGTGTGCCCTTTTTTTTTTCCTTACCAAAAACTGTGACATTGTGCATGGAATTTTTTGTTATTATCAATCGGTTGGTTTGTGTGATGATGTTGATGTTGTAGTACATGCTTGCAGTTGTTTGCTGAAACAGGTTTTCTTTGGCCACTTGAGTTAGAAATTGTCTAATTTGCATTATGGGAATCTCAACCTGTTTTACTACTTTTTCAGTGAATATTGTTCGTACACTCTATCTTCTTCACAGAATTTCTTTGAAAGCTGCGTAGTAGGAGTGTATTTTCGTGGTTGTTGTTTGTAGTGAATTTTAAAACTGCATATTCCTCCAATTACAGATTCATAAAGAGAGTTGAACCAACAGAAGTTGATGCTTCACCTCTCACTGCTACTACTTCAAGTCTCAAGTTTCTGCATATTCCTCCAAATTTTTGGATGATTATATTTATTTATTAATTTTTTTAAATCCATTTCATAGAATTTTTAGCTCAAAAATAAGTACAGTGTGTCAAACTAGAACTCCTCTGTTTGGTTGTGCATTTCTGTTTTTGATTTTTTTCTTTTTTATTATTATTTTGTTATTTTTCAGATTTGTAATAGAGCTGAAAAGTAAACAAAAAATTTACATAATTTTGAAAAAAAGATCATTAAAGATTAAAAAAAAATCAAGGAAAAAACTGGAGTTGCCCACACTAAACTAGAGTCCTCCAAATTTTTTCAATGATCATTAAAGATAATTATATGTATATATGTACTTATTTTTCTTTTTAATCACTTATAAACGGTTACAATTGTAAATTTAGGAAACCCATTGTGGAGTTGCCCACACTACACTGTGCTTTTATTCTCTCTTTTCACAGTTTACAATTTTCCTTTTTGCCATTACATTTTTCTTCTTTAATTGTTTTGAAGACTGGAGTCCTCCAAATTGGTTTCTTTTTTCTTTTTTTTTTTCATGCATAATTTTGTTCCCAATTAGTGTAAAAAAAATTTCGGATTTTTTTTTGTAAAACTGTCTTATTATTTTTGTAAATTTATGTTACGTGTGTCTACCAATTTAAAAAGTTGACTATAAAATATGAACAAAAGGTAGAGAACACAAAAATTACGCAACGGGACAAAATAGAATTTTTTGAACACTATTTTTAAAAAATTATACCAAAACAAGGTGTTTATTTTTTTTTGGGTGCATAACATAGACTTTTCTGAACACAAATAATTTTTTTGGGTGAACCAAAAAAAGGGAATCATAGACGTAGGCCCCTTTCTCCTTGTCCTAATGCTCACAAGCAAGTGTACACAACACATACAAGAAAATGTACCCACCACCACCTTGTCCCATCTCTTCTTTCCCTTTTCATTTGTTTATATTCTTGTTTGTTGACAGTGTGGTTCTCTCTCACACTCTCTCTCCCTTAAACTCTTTGACTTTCCATAGTATTTGCAGAAGGTGTGTGCTTACATTTTTACTCATCACTCATTCAAATTGTGGAAAATTCTTGTAAATCAAACTCGAAGCGGCCGTCGTATTGTCTTCAATTTTTGCATATTTTGCATTCTATTTTTTACAAATGGCGGACGACGCTGGTCTTAGTCACATCGTGCACAATTGTACATCCCGGGAAGCTATCGCTGAAATTGCGCGGGAAATGGTGGTTGAAATTGATCACAACTTGATAGAGACATGGAACAGTGCAGCTAGATATTATTACAACCATTATCACAAAGTCCCTCGAAATACATCAATACTTTCGGGACGTTTATGGATGTATGAGTTGTTTAACAGGCACAAAGGTCGGTTTGAAGATGCTGTCAGTATGTCCAAACCAGTCTTCTTGTTGTTATGCGACGTGCTTCATAGTTTTGGGTTGACACTGCCGCAGCGGGAGCATGGTATTCTGCTGGATGAGAAGGTAGCCATTTTCATTTGTGCATTGCAAGGAATGTCTTAGAAAAATTTGCAAGAACGGTTCTAACACTCAAAGGAGACATTGTCACGCAATTTCCATGAGGTTATACAAGCTATGATACTGTTCACATCGGTTCATAGTAGGAGTCTTATGCCCGAGCAAGTGCAACAAGGGGGCCATCCACATTTACGATCGCAACGGCGGGACCGGTCATACAAGGTGACACTTTTCATAAAATTTTAGTGAATACAGTACCGACATATACCCTGAATTTTTTATTTATACCTTCTGAAAAAATGATGCGTTGTGTAGGACTGCATTGGTGCACTAGATGGCACGCACGTGATGGCTTGTGTCTCGCAAGAGTATGCCACTTCATACTATGGCCGGAAAAGCGTGCCAACACAGAATATACTGGCCATATGTGACTTCGATTTGTGCTTCACGTTTGTGTCAGCCAGTTGAGACGGGAGCATGCACGACAGTAGGATGTTGCACTATGTCACAACCGAGCCTAAACATCGCTTCCCAGACCCCGCACCTGGTAAAAATTATTAAACATTTAATAAAATAGTATACTTTAAAAATAATAGCAGATAAATTATGACATCATACTTGCTCTTTTACAAAAAATTGATAAAATTACTATTTCCAGCTGCTGATTGGAAAGATTATGAATAGTCATTCACAATAATAAGGAAATAAACAATATTATGAACATATCGGTAGGATTGATTTCGTATTTTCTTCAAGTGTACACTTTTTGTATGTATTTTATTTGATACAATGAATAACGTTTCAATACTGGTAATACAAACAAAATTCGTAAGTGTTGGTAGTGCTACTGCTAAAAAATGTGCTCAATGTAGTCATGCAAGTGCAATGTAATTTCTTCCCACAAATAATTGCCTTCACTAATGGCCATATATTTTGCTTGCATGTGCAGAACATATTCATGTCAACATTTCATCACCATCAAATTGCAAGTGCCAACAGCCAATATGTCCACATGATAATGCGATCATACACAGTATCATTTCAAAAAAAAAAATTGTAAATAAACAAATAAGAAAATAAATTAATTCAAAATTTTTTTATTTCGAAACAAAATATTTAAAACTGCAATTTACTAAAAACAGAAATGTAATTGAAAATTGTTGTATTTGACAAGAAAATTTATTGACAAAAAAAGTAGTTGAAAACAAAATTGGAAAACAAAATAATTAGTAACACAATAATAGAAAAATTATTTATTTGGAAAAAAAAAAAACTGAATGGAAAGCAAAACTATTTCACAAAAAAAAAATGTAATTGGAAAATCATTATTTGAAAATCAAAATTAATTGAAAAAACAATTACTTGCAAGAAAAATTATTTGAAACAAAAAACTTACTTGAAAAAAATTTGTTACTAAAAATTTTAAATGTCAGTTTAAAAACAACGTAAACTCATTTTTTGACACTACGTTTTTTCCTCAAATTATTGTAGGTGACAACCATTTATAAACTAAAAAAACTATTTTCGAACAATGTTTTATTGGCAATAATTTTGAGTTTTGTAATTATAAACTGCAAACTGACAACGAAATGGTTACCAAACAGGCCACAGTGAATAACATTTTTGTGTTCATTACAGGAAAATACTATTTGGTGGACAGCGGCTATAGCAACAAGACAGGGTACCTAGCCCCATACAAGGGGTATAGGTATCACCAAAATGCCCATCAGAATCAAACACCACAAAATGAGTTCGAACTGTTCAATAAGGCACATTTGTCATTACGTAGTTGTATCGAGCGAACATTCGGTGCCTAGAAGTCGAGGTGGGGGGCATTGCGGAATATTCAGAAGTTCAGTTTCTCTAATCAGGTGGTCTTTGTATCTGCGTCGATGGCGTTACATAACTTCATACACCGACATAGTCAAATTGATGAGGTCACATTGGCTATCCTAGACAGAAATGAATACATGGCCTCGGAAATGCCCAACCACGATGAATACACACGGGTTGCCAATGTGATTGAGAAAGGGGACTCCGACCCCCGCAATGGCTGCTGTAAGAGCGAACATTACGTACCAACTCGGACGGCAAGCGCAGCAGTTGGGGCGAATATTTGAAACAATAATGTTGGTTAAAATTTTAATATGTATAACTGAGATTCAAATTTATATTATCATATATTTATAAAAACGTTTGGTTTTAATGTTTTGATGTCTTCGGTAAAATAGATTATGAACGAATTTTATTTATAAATGAAGTATGTCCAATCATTAATATATAAAATACATGATGGACGTATGTCCAATAATTTTGTGATACAAGCAATATTTTTTTTTAGATGCACCTTCTATAAACAAAAATCTGTGACGAAGAAATTTGAAAAAACACATAACACAAAAATAATGTAATAAATTTGTTTTGGTTGTGTGAATTTTTAATACTTTTTAGCAGGAACTTTATATACTTTTCTATCCGTTTTTATGTTACATATGTCCACAAAAACATTGTTCAAAAAAATTTAAAAAAAATTACAATTTTTTTTTTGTTTATGGTACAGGGTTTTGATTTGTTGTTATTGGTCCCACACATCAAGCAAGACCAGCTAATAAAAAAGGAAAAGAATTAAAATAAAATAAAATAATGTTCAACAACAGCACTGCACATGACTGTTGCACAGTGTTTCCTA